GCACCTGCCCCCGTGTCAATCATTGATCCTGATAATCAATACATCTGACCATCAGGACAAACAGATGAGGATCCTGAGGTTGAAGATGGACCAGGAAAGTCAGAGACTCAGGGTTAGTGACAGACTCAGGGTCTCATCTGTCTGTGGGGTTGAGGGACAGATCTGAGATCAGACTTAGTTTGTCTTTTTCTTTTTTAGTTCGTCTTTTTCTTTTTTAGTTGGTCTTTTTTCCACAGTCAGTTTCTTCGTTTAACTTCTGCCTCTCCACCGTCAGTTTCTTCGTTTAACTTCTGCCTCAAAGATGTGTTTTATATTTATTTATATTTTGTTTGTTTATTCTGTTTACATCGTGTGGTGACTGTTTTTGATCGTTTGTTGAGATGACGTCACGTCCCCGTTGTTTCAACTTAAACAGCCTTTTGAAGGGAGTTTGATCAAATCAACCAATGTTTCCAATAATCGATCGATCGATCGATCGATGGATCTCCGTGTGGCCCCGCCCCCACAGCTCGTCCAGGACCGGTCGCGCCTCTCGGTGCCTGTTCCACTCAGTGGAGGAGGATGATGCTGGACACTCGTGGGCTGCCCACTGTACACAGGGCTTTCCCTCCCAAAAGGATGAGAGAGACCGGCTGCCAGTCTGTGCAGTCTGTGCAGGTCTTGCAGACTGCAGTCGCTGAGATGATGATGATGATGATGAGCTCCAACGTCTCCGAGACTTTTCGCGGAGACAATGTCACCAAGAACTCCAGCTGTGGGTCTGTGTCGGTTGGCTTCCCCATCACCATGATGGTCACCGGGATGGTGGGCAACTCTCTGGCTCTCGTCCTGGTCTACGTGTCCTACATCAAGAAGGAGAACAAGAGGAAACGCTCCTTCCTGCTGTGTATCGGAGCTCTGGCTCTGACCGATCTGTTCGGACAGCTGCTGACCAGTCCCATTGTCATATCGGTGTACAGAGCCGATCTGAACTGGGAGCGCGTCGACTCCTCCGGAACTCTGTGCGCCTTCTTCGGCGCCAGCATGACAACTTTCGGCCTGTGCGCGCTCTTCATGGCCAGCGCCATGGCCGTGGAGAGAGCGCTGGCCATAACGAGCCCCCACTGGTACTCCAGCCACATGAAGACCAGCGTGACCAAGCACACCCTGGCTGCCATCTGGCTCCTGGTGCTGCTCTTTGCGCTGCTGCCCGTCGCGGGAGTGGGCAAGTACACCCGGCAGTGGCCCGGCACCTGGTGCTTCATCAGCGCGGGGGACAGAGACGTCCCGGGAAACACGTTCTTCGCCGTCACTTTCGCCGCTCTGGGGGTGTTCTCTCTGCTGGTCACCGTGTCCTGTAACGTGGTGACGATCCGGGCTTTAATAATCCGCTGTAAGACCAAGACCGGAACATCTCAGTCTTCGAGGCAGTGGGAGAGACTGACCACGGAGACCGTGGTCCAGCTGCTGGGGATCATGTCCGTCCTGCTGGTCTGCTGGTCTCCGCTGCTGGTATTTAACCAACATTCACAACATTAACAAAGTGATTCAGGTTTTCTTGACTCCAGTCTTTCCCAAACTGGGGTATGCAGACCCACAGTGGTACGTCAGAGTGCTTCAGGCGGTTGTTATAAATTGAACTGATCGTTGCGATATTCATTGGAGGTTTGTGTATCAGTAGCTGAGTTGATCCATTATTATAATAAAGTCTGGCAGGAAGTGATTTATTATGGTTACTCTGCAGTCAGGATGAAAACGCTTCCAGTAGGGGGTGCTGTGAGTGTTTTTCTTGTTTTTTGGTGGCGGTGCTGTTGGAGACGTGGCTGTGGTGTGTCATTAAGCAACAATCCACTTAGCTGCGTCCTGTCAGGGGCGTCTGCTCGCCGAGGTCACGAGGTCATGCACTGACAGACATGTTTAATTTTCCCAAAGACTGATATTAATAGAAACCACAGCCGTGTGGCAGCAGTGAGCGCTGAGTGTGAGTCTGACAGCCTTCTGCCGTCCACCTCTTTTTACTCCTACTTGTTTATTACAAATCTATTCCTGTCACATGGATTCACTTCTGAATTAGATTTGAGTCGGAAAATTAACTGGGAGGAAAAATGTATCTTTATATATTTATATATACATCTGTATATGTGTACTGAGGTACTCACAGTAGTACACATATACAGTACAGTGCAGTACACACCTCACTCTGTACAGTCAGGTTGTTGTTGTTGTTGTTGTTGTGTTGTTGTTGTTGTGTTGTTGTTGTTGTTGTTGTTGTGTTGTTGTTGTGATCTGCTGTCGTACTCACAGAAAATAAACAGATTAAGTTCCACTGCACAGAGATTAGATAGAATTATAGGAGGGACGTTTACTGGACCAGCCTGTCAAAGAACCAGTACCAGTACCTGTACCTGTACCAGTACCAGTACCAGTACAGAGAGGGGTTACAGGGGAGAAATGAAGAACTGTTTACGTACAGAAACATATTCAGCTCCAGGATTATCAGATTAGATTAGATTAGGAATACCAGTTCAGCTCCAGGATTATCAGATCAGATTAGATTAGATTAGGAATACCATTGAGCTGTAAGGCAGGAGTTCTACCCACTCCACCTCCGTGTGGCCCATGGTTTCGTTGTCCTGAGCTGTGCTCTAATGTTCGGTCATGTTCCAGGTTCTGATGCTGAAGATGATCTCCACCCAGGTGTCCTCTCACCAGTGCAGTTCCACGGCCGTGGTGTCGGCGCCGGGCTCCGGCGGAGACGCTCATCTGGACTGCAACTTCTTCCTGACCGCCATCCGCCTGGCCTCCCTCAACCAGATCCTCGACCCGTGGATCTATCTGCTCCTCAGGGAAATCCTCCTCCGCAAGTTCTGCATCGTGGCCAACGCCGTGTCCAACTGCTCCGTGGAGGAGCAGAAGGAGAACCCCAACGCCATGGAGGTCCTGACCAAGCAGGAGAACCAGGACGCTACACACCACAACTGAGGAGAGGTGTTCGATTCCAGAGGCCGAGGTAAAGTCTGTGCATGAAAACAGATGAAAAAAAAAGGACACGACGTTGTGTCTTCAAACGGAGGAGGACAAGAACTTTAGGGGAACAGACGGATCTGCAGTCGGCAGGTTGGTCTTAGTGGGAAAAAAAAAAGTCACCAGCATGTAAACGCATGACCACCACAGACTGTCAGTGACCACCACAGACTGCCAGTGACCACCACAGACTGTCAGTGACCAGGACAGACTGTCAGTGACCACCACAGACTGTCAGTGACCACCACATACTGTCAGTGACCACCACAGACTGTCAGTGACCACCACATACTGTCAGTGACCACCACAGACTGTCAGTGTCCAGGACAGACTGTCAGTGACTCCCTGATTTTTTTAAATAAATTATTTGTAAATGTCTGTAATGATATAACTCACATGAAGCTTTGAAAATCTTTAACTGGAGCCAAGACTTCATGGTCTTTATCAAAGAGGATCTGAGTCCAACTGGTTCTGGTTCTGGTTCTGGTTCTCCTGCGAGTCAGATGTTGTAAATGTTGTAGTACACTGTTAGTTCCTGGTGTGGACCAGCTCCTGGTGTGGACCAGCTCCTGGTGTGGACCAGCTCCTGGTGTGAAGGCGACGTCTGTGTTTCCTCTGCAGCTAATCACAGTCATGAAGTGTCGTTACAGCAGTCTGTCCTTCATGCAGGAACATTATTCCCACAATGCCGAGGGAGGGACACAGTAGAGCGTGAGGCTCAAGTGTCTCAGTTCTGTCTCACGGTGTGTCTCAGTTCTGTCTCACGGTGTGTCTCAGTTCTGTCTCACGGTGTGTCTCAGTTCTGTCTCACTGTAAGACACTGTAACGAGCTCTCTAATTGGTTGTGAATTTTCTCAGCGAGTATCGAGCGGTTCTGTCTCACTGTAACACACTGTAACGAGCTCTCTAATTGGTTGTGAATTTTCTCAGCGAGTATCGAGCGGCTCATTTGGAGCAGAGAGCGATGGAGGAACAATAATTAATGTCTGCTCAGTTCAAATCGATACGTTTTAATGGAACCACTGAGTGCATGAATAATGTTTACAGAGAATGTTCTCTGGTTTTCCACCCGCTGAACCACTGTACGGCTGCTGCACACATGTCAATATAGTAAAAAAAAATCACTGATGTTTGGCTTCATTTGAAGAGTCTGTTACTGTTCAAACTGTTACATGTCGTGGTGATGAATGAGCCACTTCATGACGTAACAACACGGAGGTCGGTGCGGCCACGGAGGTCGCTGCGGCCACAGGAGGTCGCTGCGGCCAGGCCACGGAGGTCGCTGCGGCCACAGAGGTCGCTGCGGTCACGGAGGTCGCTGCGGCCACAGGAGGGCGGGGGGGGCACCGGCAACGGACCAAAAGA